TAATACTTTATATATTGATCAAAGATTTCTGTTCTGTACTTTTTCAGAAGTTCATGGCAACCATTTCCTAGAGACATATGGTCCAAATTCCAAGTGTTTTGAACACCATGGGATCTGGTCATTAAAAAGGTGCAATATGCCTGCTCCACTGAAGCACTTTGGCAGTGGCTGCTACAAGGTCAGTGGATTCCTAATTATTAAAGTATAGATGTATATATATAAATATAACATTTTTAATGTTTCTCAAACTCTTTTAGATGCAGATCTTGCCTATCTTTTGTAGAAAACTGACACTGTATCACAAAGCTGTACCCACAGTGTTGAATGTCAACAAGACCGGTCTCATTTATTGTCCAATATCTTTCACATTGTGTAAATTGTGTACCTCTGTATTCTTTGCCCCCCCCCCCCACACACACACACACAGACATTGCTTTTGTGCAATTGTTTATCTTTATGTATTCATTTATACAATGAAAAATCATATAACGACATCAACAGTGGCTTTGTTTTGTTCCAGTACTCCTGTAACTCCACAGTGGGGTTAGTCCTGGATGTTCATGGGAAAAGCTACAGGTGCTACAAAACCGGCCAAATTCTGGTTGTTAGGGTGATTTTTGATGGATGGCTGACAGAGGGCAGCATAGTCTGTCCATCATGCCAAGAGATTTGTCAGGTGATGAAAATAAGGGTTTCAGAGCGGAGTGGCCATAGTGTTGGAGAAATATTAATAACTTGTATTACCAAGTTTTTTGCTGTTGTTTAGAATTGTTGACTCACATTTTAAGTTCAAAATAAAGTTGTTGTTTTTTAAATTCATTTTCTGAGCATGGAATAAAAAATTTGGACCATTTCTTATGTGCTCAAAATGCCCTCAAGGAACAATGCAATGCATTCATACAATAGGTATTTTAACAACAGCTGCCTATTGACCTACTGATGAATTTCTGCAAAGCACAGTAATTTGACTACCTGAGGGTCTAAATCGAGGGCTACAGCCTTCTACATATGTGATTGAACAAGGAATTAATCACCAACTTATTCTCTTTTCTGTTATTTATTCTCAATTTTTATTGCAATTCTCACATATTACTGTTCATGCCATACAAGAAGATATTATTATAATTGTGACTTATTATTTCCAATTAACTCCCTCCGATCTATTTTAGGCCAAAGGTGTTACTTGTCCACCCGAGTACAATCCACCTTATAGTTCTCCAGTGAATCTTCGCATGCCCTGCAGAGGGAGCCTGTTACACCCCAGACATGTGCAGGTGCTTCCTGCTGTGATATCGTTATTATTATTATTATCATCATGTATTTAGATATGCTGTTATACAGTTAGCTTGGTAAGTAGTAATCATGACATTCAGTGTTAATACTGACATTATGCCTAATGCATGTTTAGTTGAAGCAGGGATGCACAGTTGTGTATATTTATTTGTTCAGATGTTGGCCACTATTTCTGTTTTTTTGGCCAGTAGGTACTTGGTGTCTTGCATGGCAAGTAAGTTTTAAAGTTTTATGGCTTTGACTGTTACAGTCATGGCCATAGAAACAGGTTACTATAAAATTAAAGTTTATAAAGTTTATCTTTTAAATTATTGCTTATTTGATCAGTTTTCTCTTTTTTTCTTGAATGATTTTGAAAATGCCTTGCTGTCATTTAGCTTATCAATTCCTTTAGGAAGATTATGAAATTGTAGATTGCTCACCACACTCTCTCTCTCTCTCTCTCTCTCTCTCTCTCACACACACACACACACACACACACACTTAAAATTGCTACAATTTCACAGGAATTAATATAATTTATCAAACTGTTTGTGATATTTATTGGTTTCTCAACTATTTTCAGGTTGGTATTATTTACCATGAATGTGCAGGCTCGGGTGATGAGGTTCTTAGTCACTGACAAGAATGTACTGGAAGGTAAATCAACCACTGGCAGGTAATACTGGATGAAGACAATCACATTGGCCCCATTCAGAATGAGAAGAGCCGAGTGCTAGCTAGGCCACGACCTAAATATGGCAGACCTACATGAAAGGAAGACTGCTTAATCCTGTAATGGTCTCTCCGCCTCTCACATGCCTCACCATGCATCGTCCCTGCAGGGGCACAGTAATTAAATTTCGGCTCAATTCAACCGGTCGAGGGGCCAACACGTTGGAGGCTTGTGGTCCCAATGAAGAAAGAAAACAAATACAGAAGCTTCTTTTGAATCAAAGTTTTGAATTTTCACTGACCAGAAAATCATGGAAGACCAAGAATTCAACACAATTTTAATAGTTAAAACAAGAATAAAGAGAATGCATTATTATTTCTTTTTTTTTTTTTTTTTTTTTGTATCAGCATTTGTATTATTGCTACTGTAAGTTTCTGTAAGTCGGGTTGTGTTTGTTGCACATTCTGGTTTTCTCACATACAGATAGATAGACAGACAGACAGATAGATAGATAGATGCAATGTACATTGGACAAAATGTACCAGAACGATTCATTACACAATTTAGTATAAGTAGTTACCCTGATTTATATAAACTGTGTATATTTTAGAGCATAAACATACTTAGGCTTTTAGATTTTAACCTTTTGGATATATTTATGCGAGAAACATAAATTCTCATGAACTTGTTTTCTAGTCATGATATGTTTTATGAAATCCATTAATATAATCAGTGTCTGCCTTGCATTAAACTTTCTGGTGCTCACATAGTATTTTGTGTGTGTGTGTATACTTGTTGTTTGTACCAGTTTTGTTACAAAAAAAAATTAAGTGCTAAAGCATGGTTCACCACAGACTTTTAGTTTGGAAATTGTTCTCAACTTTTAACCAAAATGGGAATACTACTTTGTCAGGAGATAGGCTGGTAGTAGTAGTAGTCCCATTGAACAGTATACAGCCAAAATCTCATTAGAAAAGACTGTGTATGTTTCACACCTGTCCAATACTTTATATGTGTGTTATCTAGAAGTGGAGTAGACCCAAGCTTTTGGTCTAAAAGAGAAAAAAATCGGGCAAAGTTGTTTTGTGCAGCTGTGCCCAGGAATGTGAAAGAGCAGTGTGTGACGGTGACAAAAAGAGAAAATCGAAAGTGAAATTATTGAACAGGTGTGGTGTTTTGAATTTTTGTAGTGATCAAAGCTGTAATTCAGTTTGTAAATTAAATATCCATTTTTTTCTTCAATTTAAATCAGTCAGATTTACATGCGGAATGTGATCTAAATTGTTGCTTTGACAGCAGTACATCTTCATCTAAGGAAAAGATCATTTAGTATTCAAGACATTTTTACTTGTAACTTTTGATTTGAATATTTTTAAAACTTGTTTTTGACAAATTTCTTTTGTTTAAAGAATTGTTTATCATTTAAAATTTCCTATATAACCATTTTGTATATTCTGTCTGAGAAAGTCGAGTTTTTTTAAATTTGTTGCTTTGATAAGAAGTGGTTAAAGTATGTATGGTGGATTACATATCGAGTACAACTTTTTTCAAGTTAAGTGAAAATTTGAGTTAGGCTATGCTTAAGTATATTTCCATAAATAACAAAGAAATCAACTGTCCTGTAAGATTTCTGCAACATAAATGATAGAGGAAGATGAGGATTGACTACTGCACATTTTCTGTGAGTTTGCAGTTAAAAATTTGAATGGCATTTTCAGCATGAAATCTTTTTCAGGACTTCAGTTTTCATTCTGTACAGAATATTAAAAGGTATACACAATACAGGAAAACGTCTTCTGATCGTATTAAGTGCCTTCTGTCTAGGGCAACAGCACGGTTATATGTGACAATTTATACAGTGTCTTTTAATGACACTTCTCCACAACGAAGGAAATTAAGGAAAAAAAAGACGCTGCTCAGGTGCTTGTTTATAAAATATTAACTTATTTCAACTCACTGCATTGTCGTTGTATTTAGGTACATATTTCAGCAGATCCATTAAAATTTATTAAGTATTAAATGTTGTACTTATTAGGACAGGTATGTAAATCTAAGGCATTAATGGTAAAGGTGCTGTAGTTATCAGTACATGATAAAGTATACTAGATATATGGGTTGTATTGGGTTCTATTACCATAATGCATAGTAGAGTATTGAAATCAACTTTTGCTCCAAACAAAAAGGTTGTAGAATGCTAATATAAACTGATTACATGTTGTGTTAACTAGGGAAAAAAGAAGTGTGGTACAAAATAAATGTTAAATATTTCAATGTTCACAAAATATCCAAGAAAGACAAATAATATCTGACTTGATTTATTCAGTTTTCATCATCAATATTAGATATTTAGTCAAACAGGTCAATATATTAGGAAGTCATTTTACATAAAGGAGAAAAAGTGATGTGATAAATCGGATATAGCCAGCAAATGGGTAACAAAATCAATATTAATGTATTGGATTATTCAGGAGTTTAACTTCATATCTTTGTACATTAAGAGTACAACTTGTTCACCAAATAATGCTCGAGAAAAAGACACATAACCATTGGACATTGCACAACAGTTCTTCTCACCATTTTACTTTTTATATTGAATTTCTTAGTCCAAAAGAAAAATAAATAAATATATCTCCCTGTTGCGATGTTTATCTTGTGTTCTTTTCAACAAGTTGGTTACTGTAACATTTTTAATAAGACTAACATTTACATGTAATTATCTATAATTGCAACCTCACCACCAGAGTTCAGTGTACAAATACACATTTATAAATAAGTTAATCACCAACCTGACCTTCAGCATTTACAAAACAAAAAGGAGCCTTATAACTTCCCAACTTATGACAGATAATATATGGAAATTTATCAAATTCTTTGTTGAGAGCAACTGTTTCATTAGATTGTGTCAGAAATGTGTTCTATGTCTATCTCTGTATTTGATAAATTTGAAAGTCATTGACTGACCCTTCCCGACCCCCCTCCCCCAGTCAGTGACCGGTTTAAATTCATCCCTGTTCAAATTTCCTGACCAGAAAAAAAATTTCCATGTCTCCCATACATTGAAATATCTGCAGTTCACCACAAGAGGGCACCACATTGAAAGTACAGTCTGATGAGTCTGACAGCGCCTCTCTCTGAACTCTTGCATTCCCAGGGAGGTTCAGAGTATTGCTGCTAATGAATTGACTTGTGGCTATGACCATATTTTACAGACTTTCCACCTAACATTAGAAGATTCCACGTTGTCTTCAGGATGAACATTTGATGACCAGGGGAACAGAATGATCTGCGTGGACTTTTTTTAAACAAGTGACGGTCTTTTCCACTCTGGAACTTGTACATTGGCACTACATGTAGTGAGAAGAAAAGATGTGAGAGAGCACCACCACCCCTATCACCCACTCTCTTCTGTTATTTCAATGATCCTTCATCAACAGGATTGTCTACTCTTCCACAAACACGTTTTATCTCCTATCCGTCTTGCCAGTTCCTCTTTTTCCTGCAAACAGATGCCTTGGTTTTGCCACAGCTATGTGTCTGTCACTCTCGCCTGCCTTGCCAAACTTGTTCATCTTCCTCTGGGATTTCTTTGCCAGCACCTTGACCTTCTTCATCATCTGGAAAACACAACAAACATAAATTCGGGATCATTTTTCATTAAAACACTGTCCAATTTCACTGAATCAGATTCAGAACCAAAATATTTGTATACTATCATATTATCAGCTGAAGTGTCAAAAAATGTGTGATAAATATTACACATAGCCAAATATCCAATGCAACACAAAGTTCTCAGAACTACCACTCGAAAAAAATCCACATTAAAATGTAAGGCAGACATACAGCAAAGTAAAACCATAAAATGATAAAAAAACTTTTTCTTGAAAATCATCTAAACATGAAATGTCTAGTGCATTTCAGGGTTTATTCATATGCATCTACAGACACTTTGAGATAAAAATTAGTAAAATGGCCCAATTTAATTTTATTAGACATGCATCTGCCTGAAATTCATGTTTTCTCCCGTCACTTACCACTCCGTCTCTCACTCCAGACTGATCGCGAGGAGGTCTGGAGGCACTCCTAGTGTGACTCAGCGTCTCCTCATGCTTCCTCTTCAACGGTTTACGACTGACACTACGAGTCCTCACATTAGCATAATGGCCCTGATTTGAAAGAAAGAAGGAAAATATTGTAGCATTATGGTTATATCTTTAAATCAAGTGTAAGAAGCATGGTTGTTAGACTCTTATATTTTGGCAACACTTCCTAACAAATCCCACTGATACAATTTAACACAATTAATTGCTTTGTGCATGAAGGATTATATAATTTCTAAAATTATATACATTTTCCTTTGATTTGTCTACTCAGTAACAACCAGCCTATAACACTTAGAAATTAATTTTACAATTTTTATGAGATCTAAAAAGATGATGTACTTCCTTTCACCATTAAGAAACAAGACACAGTACATACCACCTATCATCATTCACAGCCAGTTATTTTCCAAACACTATATTTTAAGATGCTGTTGAAATTTCAAGATGTATCCCTTAAACCATGCCTTAACTCCACCAGTGTAATGTTCTCCCCATAAAAAACAACTACCTCATCATCAGCCATGTCCACTCCCATGTCTGCCATCTGACTTTCCAGGTCTTTCTTCTGTCGTCTGATGGCAGTGCGCGGCAGACGCGGTTTCTGGATGGTCTTCTTCTCCCTCTTCTCCATTATCATGATCTTCTTGGTTTCTCTGATCCTGCAAAGTGAAAATACGTAATGATATTATAGCAATAAAAAGGACAATATGATTTGATATGATTTGAGAAGTCATATGCCAAATTTTAAAATCTTCCCAAATGCCTAATAAGTCTTATACAATGCTTCAGATTTCAATAATGGAACTAAGGAACTACTGCCTTTTTGAGGCTGTCTGGTGAGTCCTTCTTATTTTTCATCAGTTTCTGATCAACCCCTAATTACTGATAATATCATCACCATCATAAAATTTTATGGGAAATATTTCCAATGTTACCAATTATTTACCAACTTGAAGATGAACAAAAATTTTGCAAACTGTTCTTCAGCACTTGACAAAATTTCCAAACTGAATGCGGTATTGACATCAACTTACTTCTTTGCTGTGGCTCGAATGTCCTTCATTTCCTCATCCTCCAAACTCTCATCAGAGTCATAAGCACCCGCCTTTTCACGCAACTCTTCTTCCTTTTCCAATTCATCCAGTTTCTAAAAAAGATAAAATTTTAAAATTAGTATCTAACTGCTGACCAACTATAAAAACTATAAAAAAGACATCTGATTCATTTAAATCCTTATAAATTGCACAACTGATGTAATTCTCAAAGTATCACTGCTGAGTTCAATTGTAAATTTAAATCAATTTTTCAACTTGTTGTGGTTAAATAGCCCTAAATTTAGAGTTAAATAGAGTTCATCGTCTCTACTTGATGAACATCCTTTCCCACAACAGCCTAACCAATTTTTATTTTTTCATTACCTTGTCTTTGTTATTTTAGTTTCTTCACAAAAGCTTACTTTCTGGCTCAATCTTATACTCTATTAAATTTTTTTCTATGCCATTTTGTGGCAATAAACTTCTAGTATTTAGCTGAAAAAAATTTGATAGTCCCAAAAGCAACTAAATCCAGGTGATGAAAGCATCACTATAATTTTGTTTTTTCCAACTTTCTACATTATCAGCCCTTTACTCACTCCCACACAACATGAACCAATGGAGCCAGCATTACTTTTTACCTTCAATATGTCTGGATCAATAAAATCAGCTATGTTTTTCCCTTCCCAAATCTCTGGTATAACGTCATATTTTTCTTCTGGCTTGTCAAGGTCCCAATGCTCTGAAATGGAGAAATGAGAAATAAATGTTTATTTAAAACATTTCTTTTATTGTTACAAGAATATCCTCAGCACAGTGGTAATAGACTGTTTGGACAAAGTCTCTGATGAGATGTAGGCAGAAGAGAATTATATAAGATTGGAGATAGGTCCAACAGAAAACCAACATAAGCTGAATATATTTTAAGTCTTATAAATTCCTGTCTGAATGAACTTAATTAATATATTCATGTATGTTAACTCCATTTTCATACATCTTGTAATCTGAGCACAGTAATATAAAAATCTCTTTTCCTGAAATTATCATACCACACTAAAGAAAACTTCATGAACATACTTTGTAAGTCCAGGACATAGTCATCTCCCATCTCTAGTTCTATGTCTCTTTCCTGGAAACAAGAAGAAGCAAGCTTAGGAGACTCTATGCTGCAGCACTCTGCACAGTCATGTTCAGCAGAAACATTCAGAATGCTCACTGTCAAAGACACGCACTGAGATTTTATTGTTACACCAAAATACTTTTTATACAAAATATAGCTCTAAACTTTCTTCCGTATACCATAAAATGAGGAGGATCACCATCTTGGCAAATTATTTCTTGTGTACAGATACATTCTTATCTCATCTGTTCACTTTAAGCATATAACGCATAGCACTTCTGATCAGATGTATGTACTTTTTTATTCATACACGTTTACATATTAAGTGACAGTCAGAGAAGAAAGTTAAAAAAAATTATAATGCAGCTAAATAACTGGACTAATATATCTTATAAGAAAGTTGGCTCAACCTGTCACTTACCAGTTTTTTCTTCTCTTGCTCTACTTCCATAGCTTGTCTCTTCTTGAGAACACTCTCAGGGATACATGGAGGTCTGGCCTGCAAGGGAAAGGGACATACTTGTTTACCAAGAATAATAAATGTCTAAATAGCCGCCACACAAGTTACGATAAAAAAGTACAAACCTATATTTATTGAAAATTAGTAATCACATTCACTTCATCCATAATAATAAAATCAATAAAACATCATGCATCAAAATAAAATGTTTTATTGATTTCCATAATGATTCTTCTGTGGTGTAATAATGCAATGTTCTTTTGTGCTACTTAGTATTTCCTTGCACATGAAGAAATATACATCCTAGTGGCAATGTCAGGTAGAAGGCAACAGCTGCTTACTTCGCATAATACTCAACAGTCCTTGACATCACTCATCAGTTGATTGCACCACAAATTAACTGACAATATACCACACTCGTGAGTTGATGACAAAAACCACTCATAAATTGAAAACATTACGTAACACACATCAGTTAAGGGCATGATAAAGCAACCACTAGCTGATGAGATGACATATACACAGTACTCACCTTGGTGTCTCTCTGCACAGGTGTTGCCACATGTAACCTATTAATAACATCATTCACCTTCCTACCCTTCATTTTAACCTCCACTCTTTGTGCAAGAAGACGATCACATGCCTGAAGAAGTTAATAAGACCATTACACACAATATGAACCAACTGATAAACAATATTCTAAATAAAAACTTAGTTGAATCTTTTCTAATGCAAAACAAATCTTTTACTCAACCCAAAGTTATTAATGTTAGCAAGAGTCTAGACAGTTACCCTTTTAAATAATTTTCTCATTCTGTGAGGCAGTCACGCCAAAAAGAAAAAAAAAACTTGAAAACTGACCTCAGTTTTCACCTTCATGACCCCCTCCTCTGTCACTGTGCTCATCTCATACACTGGGATGTCATCTGTCTCAAACTCCTCAAATAATTTCTGGAAAATATCAAACATGCATGAAATTTGACATACAGCAGAAATAGTTCACGTCTGATTGCTCTGTTAAGACAATATCTAGTTTTGACTGGAAGTTGGGTTTAAAAACTTCCTTCATCTGAGGAAAGAACTGACAAGAGACCAAGAGCCCATCACACATGAAACTTTTGTTTCCAGATGGTGTACATTTGTCCTCGTTTGACCAGATCATAAGTGCTTCATTCTGGTATTTCTAATTATAGTAAAATAACACAAAAATATCACTTCTTAATGAAGAACCAAACCCTGGATAACTGTTACTCCCAGAGTAGACAGAAGTCCATTCAACTTTTAAGATGTTTAATTTGTAAACTGCTCTTAGACCAGTACTGCGTACTAGTTGGTTTTACATAACCAGCTATCTGATTAGCAATTTTGTCTAAGACAAGATACTAAGGACTATTTTGCATGGTAGGCTCCTGGGTTTCACCCATGAAATTACCTTTCTATCTTCATCCAGCTCGGATAATTTGAGCACATCGATCTTGTTGACACAGACAACCAGAGGTTTATTGGCAAAGAGCGGCTTGATGGTGTTGAACAGTTCAATCTAAAACAAGAGAAAATAATGCTAAGTTGCAGGGATTGAAAAGGGTACTTTGTAATTTGGGCTTTGGATTAGTGTAATACATATCCCTAAATGTCAATTTATCTATATGCTGAGACTGCTAAACTAAATGAAGTTCGTTTCAATTCAAAACTACCAAAACAGGGAATGCGATTTGGACAGAAAGACAAAAATGAAGACTGGCCAATCAATAAATTAACCCATTACAAACCTGTTGTTCTACTGTGTGTCCGCACTGTTCAGATACATCCATGATGTAGAGCACGGCTGCTCTGAGGTGAGCCAGGGCTGTGATGGCCTGCATCTCAATAGTGTTCCTCTCCTCCAGGGGGTGGTCTAAAATCCCTGGGGTATCGACCACCTGGAACACAACCCCCCTTTTAATGTTAATACATGCTCAATTTAAATGATTTAATCACTTAATCTGGATGGTGGTATGTATAATATGAAAAAACAATTTGTGTGACAGAAAATATACCATGGCCCCTTCTATTTGGTTTAATTATATAATCATTAATCTTAAAAAAAAAATTCTGAGAACTACTCTAGCCATGGGAAAACCGATAAAAGGAGATAAACAAATTAATAATCAAGTAACACGATAACTTGTGGAAAATGCTATTCAAATATCAGTGCATTTAATGGCTAAGCGTAACATTTTACAAGTTTCTTCCGACATGTGCACAGTAACTTTGGCATAAATGACCAAGTAGCAGAGACCCCACTGTTTAATGCAAAATGGTCATATGGAGAGTTCAGTTTACCCTACCCCTGGTCTAAAATATAAGTAAACTGGCAATTTAATTAAATCAGGGATGAGACCAGTCCTCACTGAAAAAGTAGGAAAATTGGCCTGGGGTACAAAATTCACACGAATGACCCAAAAGAACCTGAAAAAGTCAAAAAAGCCTCATCATTGTTAAAATGCCTACCTGCCACCTCAGGTACTTATAATCCATGTGGCCAACAAACAGGGACTTGGTTGTAAAGGCATAGGGCTGGACTTCTACATCTGCTCTTGTGATCTTGTTTATAAAACTGGACTTCCCCACATTTGGAAAGCCGCATATGAGTAGAGTCCTTGTGTTGGGGTCTATAGATGGCAGCCTTGACAGATGTTGTCTGACTTGCTCAAGATAAGCCAAACTCTGGCCTTGTCTCTTCATCACTGTGCACATCCTAAAATACAGATAAAGATATTATTACATCAATTAGTATTTCTTGTTAATCATTTAATTATACTTATTTAGAGCAATCTTCTATAATTAACTTATAAGTCATTAAAAGATTGTTAGCAAGATAAAACAAATACAGAAAAATAAATAAACAGAAGTTTTAAACTTTGTGTCATTTCAACTTTGCATGAAAATCTTTATGTTTCAATTGTTCTAAATGTTTATTTCTATTAACACCCAATCTTCTCAGATTTCCTCAGTTATTTAATACAATCTTTCCAGCATATTCCAGCCTAACAGTCTGGTTAATAAAACAATGCAATACTAACAACATAATTACACAGTGACACAATTGTACACTTATTTTTGAAAAAGAGAATTGAAATTCAACTTAAACATATAATCTATGGAGATTCTATCTCTTACCTGCCCAGTGCTGCCTTCTTCAGCTGTTTACACCTGTACAAAGAATCCCCATATTTCAGAAGCCTTGTGTAATCCTTGGCCACACTGGAGAAAAAATTTAAAAAGCATAGTCTAGAAACATTTGCTTAAAATCTAACAAGCCTTCTAGAGCGGACTCTAGAGGTATTATATGATACTAAAAACATGTCCCTGAAACTATGAAGTTCTCAACACTTTTCCTTTTAAATAGCAAGGAAAGACAGCATACTGAGCAATTTGTTTTGGTTGATATGAGAAGATGATACAGTATACAAACAAGACTGATAAATGCTTGGCGCATGTAGCATGGTTTACATTCAAGGAAAATAAACTCGTTGAGGATTTGCTAGGTTAAATGCTGCACAACAGTGAAATCATTCCATACTTGTCTATGAGATGCCTGGCAGTGTTGATCTGACCCAGTGCCAGCTTGTAATGATCTTTATCATACAGCACATTTAGGAGGTCTGCATAGAAAGGATGGATATCCTAAAAAAAGCAAGTGGAATGTTTCGTACTTGTATTAATACATGATAACAGAAATGCAACAACTGTTACAATTCTTAAGCACTTAATAAAAAAATCTTATGATACTAATTTAGAAAACACAGATTGAATATTTAATTGTACTATCTTTCACTGCCCACTTAAACAGTTTATGCGGTAATTAACTGCTTCAAAGGGTATTTAACAATATAGGTTCCCTTCTGGTTCTTACTATTTAGTTGTGAACTTATGCTACTGAACATGGACGGGACTTTTTGGTTTGCAGTAAAGTCGTAAAACTGCTGATAATGGACACAATCTCAATACCGTTGTAAGCACCAACACTACCCAAAAAGTCAGAATTCTGCCGACAGTTACGAAAATCTCATCGCTGACTAAAACATAACGCCCCTCACCTCCAACTTGGGGAAGTCTGTGATGATCTGTGTTAGCTTGTCGTGATAGTTCTGCTGCGTAAACTTCACTTTACGCATGTAAAAATGTCGTATCCTGGAGATGGCATACTGTTTATGGATGACTGTTGGGGTCTTTCTCTGGGTCTTGGACAATACTATGTCTATAAAGTCCTGAAGAAAAGAAAAACAAAGTGCTGGGTTATTATAATGACCATCAAATGCTCATTCAATACATTTTATTTACATAAAACGAAATGCAGTCATTTCAGATTGAGCATTTTTACACTTGGGCATACATTTACGCGACATATCAATGGGAAAATGATCGCACAATATTCTGTGTTGTGATAACAAGGCTGCGTGATAAATCTGATACAAAACAGATAAACTGAGTGATTTAAATCCACGTGGTTTGTAAATATCATGCTGTCAGTATGGAATTATTTAACACGCAAATTCAGTGTTTGAAGATGATTGAGCGTTAAATCACCAGTGCTGTGATAACTTAAACCCTTAAAAGTGATTTTTTTATTTTACCCACCTTTGACGTTGGAACCACAGTAATCTTCTTGAAATTGTAGTGAGACATCGTAACACGTTTTCTCTCCTTTCTCGCTTCCGTCTGCACTGCTACAGCTCAGGGCTTTAATTTTTACCTGGACCTGATTGGTTGTAAATGAATTAGGCAAAATCGTAAATTTGATTAATAAATTCAATTTTAACTTGCATAGAAAATAGAGATAAATTGTATTCATTATTTTGTGTATAAAGGGTTATTTACTATTTTCCGTTGGTAAAAAAAATGCGATTTTGTGCAACATGTGTTCGCATGATTTACCCCGTAGCTAATGTTTATCATCTGGTGCGGTAGCAGACGTCCACGTCGCACCTACATTTATTTACCGCTTGCTATGTCGTTCTAAGAGGATGTCCTGTATTATCATCCTGTTCTAGAATAGGTCAAATGTAAAACACATCAAATTCACTCGCCGGGAAGACTGACCACGGTAAGTCATCTCTCTCTCTCTCTCTCAATTTGAAAATTTCGAGTTTCGAGTAAGCAAAATCGAAATCGAATGTAGTCGAGTATTATATGTATGAAAAGTGATTAAGTAATGTATTATTAAGAATCATTGTTTATAAAAGTAAATAGATTGCCATCAGTTTGAAAAGGTGATCGATTTCTTCGTACGTTCAGGTAATTGATTTAGCCGAAAACTGAGGTAACTTGAAACTACCTGTACATGACATTACATATGCTAATACAGTGCATCAACATATCTATCTATCTATCTATATATATATATATATATATATATATATATATATATATATATATATATATATATATATATATATGTTTATTTCCAGAATTATTAACATAATTGCTCAATTTGTGTGCTCACAGAACCAGGATATGGGGCCATTTATGGACGTCCTGCATCTATCAGGAGTGGCTTTCATAGAAACCATTCAGAGGCAGTTCAAGGTTGGGTTAAACCATTTAGCAGATTTGATAACTACATGTATATCAACAGCCATCTCCAGAGTGTTAATCGATGGTCTCTGAAATATTTTTCTGTCGTACTTTGTTTTGAACCATGCCATAACCATACAGATGGAAGTAGAAGCATACTGGAGATATATATATATTACAGATCAATACTAACAGCCCCCCTCCCCCCCCCCCCCCCCACAACAACACA